AGGGCCTTTGTCTCCAAAACAACTTAAAAGCTGCTTTTGTTCTCTCATCTTCCTGTGACAGAAGAAGAGGCTCAGGACTTTTCTCATAAAATGCTCTATCTGGGCTCATCAGAGTTATAGACAATGCAAACACACAAATCCAGCCAACCCTCCCAGCAGAGTCCAATCAGTAGCCCAGGTTGTTATCATTCTGGTTTTGTCACCTGGGAAATTAGGGCCAAGGCGGAAGTAGAAACTGGCCAGGAATAGAAAAAAAAAGTATCATAAGGAGTTCGATTAATTAGACTTATGAATCACTTAAGCTAGTAAAGGATTCTGAAACCCGTGTCATCCAATCTCCTCCACTGGGTTCTTAATTCTTCCTCTGCAACATCCAGTTAGTTAAACCCCTCCGGTGACTACCTCTCGAGTCAGCCAGTCCACTGCACATTCTCACCATGGGGAGTCAAATTTGTTTCTCTCAATGAGATACCCACTTATCCTACATCAGCTCTTATAGTAATTTGGGGCAAATCTATCTCTCACACAGCAACCACATGACTAGCTGACTAGTGTTTCCAAAACTGAGGGGTTCTGATAGTTCATAAGTTGGCTCTTTATATATATTTTCCCTCTTGAGTATCCAGGGAGTGAGGAGCATACTTACTGTAAAATCCGGTCTTTTATTATGCTTTTCCATGTATGTATGGGTTTCAACTTTAGGATGGTCTGGGAGTAGTTATTCCTGTCTTGGACTGGTCTTTCTGAAAACAGAGCCAAGGACTTCTGAACTTCATTGAGATTCTTTTCAAAAATATGTTCATCAGTATAGTATTTGGAGGCCATGAAGTTGGGGGGACTGAATATGTTGAATGACAGAACCGTGGTTCCAAATGATTTAGACATCCTTGCACAAGAGACTAAATATAACAAGATGACACTTGGAGCTTTTCTTACATCTAAAAGAGTAGTTTACTAATGCAACAAGGCACATGATTTAGGGAGGAATAAATATATCTAAACTTCTTAGGAGAGTCTATCTTACTAGCCACGTACCCTAATGTTGTATGCACCCTCAGCACCTCTATCCCAGGGAAAATTCACAAAAATGAGCCATATTACTCCTGGTATCAGGTAGAAAAAGAGATTGAAAACTACTGGTCTATAAATAACCCCTGCACATCTCTAAGAAGAGATCAAGACTATAATTAAAAAAGACAGTTTTTATCAGATGATATTAACATCAATGTAAGTCCACACTTACTGCCAACAGTTCCTGCCATTAAACCCTGCATTACACGCTGAATGTCAATACTGAAACATATGGAAGTGAATATTATTCAGCATTTCAAAAAAAGGAAAGGAAATCCCACCAACTCCAGCAACATGGATGGGCCTGGAAGACATTGCACTAAGTGAAGTCAGTCAGTCACAGAACAAATACCACATGATTCCACTTACATGAGATATTAAATAAACTCAGAGAAGCATAGAATAAAATTTTGGTTTCCAGGGACTGTGGGGAGCAGGAAATGGATAGTTGTTCAATGGGTATCAAGTTACAGTTATACAATATGAGTAAGTTCTACAAATCTCCTCTACAACCTTGTGCATATGGTTAATGAGGCGATAGGGTACATTTAACTTGAGAGAGTACCTCTTGTGTTAATGTTCTTACCACAAAAAAACAAAGCAAGAGGACACAAAAACACTTTTGGAGGTGATGGAAATGTTTATTACTTTAATTGTGATGATGGTAATAGAGTGTTCACATGTTTTCAAACTCATCTAAATAGAAAAATAGACATGTGCAGTTTTTTGGTGTGTATTAAACATACCTCAATAAAGCTGAAGGGAAAAAGAAACATCAAAATTTCACAATTTAGTTTTCCTCCTCAGAACACTGTTTCCCATCAGTAAGTCTAGCAAACGGGTCATGACTCAGAGTAGAGAGGGGAAATCGTCCAAAGAGCCTTCTTGTTTTCATGCCCGTGATGCCCTGTTTCATATTCAAAGTTCTCTGCCCACCTGACCTACAATGAATGAGCCATCAAACTAAAATGACGCCTTATCCTCCCAAGTCACCAAAAAGAATGTGGGCCTGTTAGAATCATTATCACCCAAGTGGAGACATTCTGTGCTGTGCCACATGAGACTAACACACACACCTTCTAAGGGCAGAAGTCACGTGACTGCTTTCTCTGAGGGAGCTAAAGCAAGAGACACAGAAGAGGTGATTCAGGAAGAGCTGAAGGGCTGAATCCTGACACATCAGGAAAAGGAAACTATGTTTTCCATCCTTCTTGAAAAGTTTAACTAAGAAAACAAATTTGGCTAATTTGATAATCGCCTGTTTATTAGGACAAACAATGACAAGGAAAGAGCTCTGCATCTGATGACAGCAGCTCCTTAGCAGGGTATAAAAGGGCACTGGGGGCCAGCAGACTTCCAAACCTTCCAAACCTTCCAAATCTACCTTCTTGGAAACTCACCCAGAACCTCCACCCTCTGACACCATGGCCAACTCATGTTGTGGCTCCGTCTGCTCTGACCAGGGCTGTGGCCAAGGCTGCTGCCAGGAGACCTGCTGCTGCCCCAGCTGCTGCCAGACCACCTGCTGCCGCCCCAGCTGCTGTGGGACCAGCTGCTGCCGCCCTTGCTGTGTGTCCAGCTGCTGCCAGCCTTGCTGCCGCCCAATCTGCTGTCAGAACACCTGCTGCAGGACCACCTGTTGCCAGCCCACCTGCTG